CTCCCAGTGTCCTCCCAGTCCCTCCCAGGGCTCCCAGTGTCCTCCCAGTCCCTCCCAGTGCTCCCAGTCCCTCCCAGTGCTCCCAGTCCCTCTCAGTGCTCCCAGTGCCACCAGTGCTCCCAGTCCCTCTGGTGCTCCCAGTGCTCCCAGTCCCTCCCAATCCCTCCCATCCCTCCCAGTGCCTCCCAGTCCCTCCCAGTGCCCCGCTGCCCACGCACAGTTCCCGTGCTCCCACTGTGTGCCCCCAGTCCCTCCCAGTCCCTCCCAGTGCCCCCAGTCCCTCCCAGTGCACCCAGTGCCACCAGTGCTCCCAATCTCTCTGGTGCTCCCAGTGCTCCCAGTCCCTCCCAATCCCTCCCAGCACCCCCAATCCCTCCCAGTCCCCTCCCAGTCCCTCCCAGTCCCTCCCAGTACCCCCAGTCCCTCCCAGTGCCCCCAGTCCCTCCTAGTGTGCCCAGTGCCACCAGTGCTCCCAGTCTCTCTGGTGCTCCCAGTGCTCCCAGTCCCTCCCAATCCCTCCCAGTCCCTCCCAGTCCCTCCCAGTCCCTCCCAGTGCCCCGCTGCCCACGCACAGTTCCCGCAGATGAAGAGGATGACGAAGTAGACACAGACGAGCATCCCGGGGAACACGGGGCCGCCGTAGGCCATGATCCCGTCGTACATCACCGCGTTCCAATCCTCCCCCGTCAGGATCTGGGCGAATCGGGGGTCCCCAAACACCAGGGGCACCCCAAAACCTCAGTGCCACCCCCAACCAGTGCTCCCAGTACACCACTGCCTCCCAGTTCCGAGTGCACGGCATCACCCCGCAGTGGCTGTAGGGTGGGGATGGGATGGGTTGAGGGGGGTTCATGGCTTTTGGGGTCTCCCCACAGCTTATGGGGACCCACGAGATTCAAGGTCCCTCACAGGTGTTGGGATCTCCCACAGCTTTTAGGGTGTCCCACGGGTTTGGATGTCTCCCACAGATTCTGGGGTTCCCCATAGTTTTGGGGTCTCCTCATGGCTTCAGGGTCCCCTGTGCATTTTGGGGTCCCCCTGAGGGATTTCAGGTTCCCCATAGTTTTGGGGTCTCCTCATGGCTTCAGGGTCCCCTGTGCATTTTGGGGTCTCCCCACAACTCTCAGAGCCTCCTCTGGAGTTTCAGGGTCGCCCTGCAGGCTTTGGGGTCCCCCCGAGGCTCCCCCCAGGTTTTGGGGTACCTGGAAGACGGTGAGCAGGGCCTGCGGGAAGGTGTCGAAGGTGCTGCGCTTGGTCTGGGTCTCGTCGAAGCTGAAGCGGCCCCCGAAGAGCTGCATGCCCAGGAGCGCGAAGATGATGATGAAGAGGAAGAGCAGCAGCAG